TCTGATGCCTCCACTTATTGCAAAGTGGCAACAGCTTTCAAACTCAGACAAAGATCTCTTTCCATTGCTAGAATGCTTCACATCCATTGCGCAGGTATGGACATAGGTCAACACTTTGTTAAATATCTGTATGATCTTGAATCTGTTTGCACAAGTTAAGTTACTTTTCATGGTTCAATAATCAGTAAATGTACCCTGTTTGTGCCTCGTTGAGTCACTGAAAAGATAAATGTAAGCAAGTTAATTCCCAGAGAAGTTTTCGTTGAATTATGATACTGTCATCATTATCATTAGGCGGGCTCATCATCCATGTTATCAATGCGAGCTTGAACTGCAACATAAACTGTCTGTATCTAACAAATGTTGTTTACTTATTACAGGCTTTAGGTGTGGGGTTCTCTCAATTTGCTCAGCCTGTTTCCCAGAGATGCATGGATATCCTCCAGTCCCAACAACTTGCTAAGGTTTCGTTTCCAGAAATTTAAAAAACGGAGCATTTCTTTTCCAGTTGTCCCTTTGCCAATTGTATACTCTGGTCTAGATATAAGTGATGCATTCTTGCATTTGTCTAGTGACAGCTTTTAATATTTTACTAGAGCGGATAGAGCAACGAGGGCGTTCTTTTGTTTGTCGTCTGCTTAAAGTTTGTTTTGGTAATGTTTACAGGTTGATCCTGCTTCAGCTGGGGCTCAATATGACAAAGAATTCATTGTTTGTTCTCTCGACTTACTTTCTGGACTTTCCGAAGGGCTTGGCAGTGGAATAGAATCCCTGGTACTTTCTTTTCTCTGAACATTTTTGTCACGTTTTTTTTTCTATCCAATGGATCTCAAACCCCGAAAGAAGCTCAGATTTGCTTAATAGTCACTGTAGAATGCTTTTTAATGTTGGATTCATGCTCTCTATTTGTCTGTTCATTACAGATCTCTCTGTGGTCAGACAAAAGTTTTCAACGATACTATAGAGATGGCTAATTTCATTTTCATATAATCTGATATGCTCTTGCTTACTCGCTATAATTCCAGGTATCACAAAGTAATCTGAGGGATATGCTTCTCAAATGTTGTATGGATGAAGCTCCTGATGTGAGGCAAAGTGCTTTTGCCCTTGTTGGCGACCTTGCAAGAGTAAGTTGCATTCTCAAAGATTTAGAGGCTTTAAGGCTTTGAAGAAATAGCTATGGGGTGTGTTGCCGAGAATAGTTTATAGTTACATGAGATTCAAATTCATCATTAACTCACATGCAATGTTACTTCTAACATATTTGATGTATTTTTTTGCTGCACTGACAGGTATGCCCTGTTCATCTGAGTCCTCGCTTGAGTGAATTCCTTGATATTGCGAGCAAGCAACTGGTTGGTATCCCTAGTTTTATTATCTCTCTCATCTATTATCCTCCTCTTTTGAATTGATTCTACGGATGCTTTGTATCAGAACGTAAACCTCCTTAGAGATACTATTTCTGTTGCAAATAATGCATGCTGGGCCATTGGAGAGTTAGCTGTCAAGGTAACACAAGATTTCAGAAGTTTTTATACAAATTCATCACCCGGGATTTAGTTTTCCAGTCTTCATTCGTTGATATGGACATGTTTCAGGTTCGTCAAGAAGTCTCACCCGTTGTGATCAACGTTGTCTCCTGCCTTGGCCTGATTCTTCAGCATGGAGAGGTGAAACCAGTGAACCCAAAAGATCTAAATTCTGTAGCCGTGTCTGAATAACCGAAACATGTGAATATGTCTGCTATCTGATTGCGTTTTCGCAGAATATAAACAAGTCACTGATCGAAAACAGTGCAATCACTCTCGGGAGGCTTGCATGGGTTCGTCCAGACCTTGTCGCTCCACACATGGAGCACTTCATGCAACCGTGGTGCATTGCCTTGTCGATGTTAGTAGACTTTGTTTGTTGGATTGGATCTGGACCTCGTAGATTTCCAACTCCTGCTCGAAAAAAAAAAAACCAATCCCTTAAACCGTTCTTTCTGTTCAGGATACGCGATGATATAGAGAAGGAAGATGCATTCAGAGGGTTATGTGCAATGGTACTTCTCTTTCACTACACAGCTGTTTATATTTATACGTATATTCTGTCCCTACTTACGAGCATTCTCCATGCCATTTTTCCAGGCCAGAGTGAATCCCACTGGTGGTGTAAATTCGCTTGTTCATCTCTGCAAAGCCATCGCGAGTTGGCACGTAAGTGGAAAAGATACATATAAATTTGACTTCCCCTGTTTCATGAAATCTTACTGATGAACAATGAAAGATCGGTTGATCGCTGGGTAACAATAAAAATCCAACCTTTACCCGTTTTTGCAAACAGGAAATCAGAAGCGAAGACCTCCATAACGAAGTCTGCCAAGTACTGAACGGATACAAACAGGTAAAAAAAACAAAAAACCCGAACCCTGCATTCGGTTTTATGAACCATTCTCTGTTGTAAAAGAACACTAAGCAGGTACTTGTGGTCATGTTCTTTATGGATTCAGATGCTGAGAAATGGAGCATGGGAGCAGTGTATGTCTGCTTTGGATCCTCCTGTAAAGGAAAGGCTGGCGAGATATCAAGTCTAATACGATAAGTACACTCTCTTCTATTCGGATTTGTTCGTTGTATTCTTCTTCGTCCTCGGATCAGAATTATTTGGATACGCCGACGATGGAGAGAAACCACGTACTGGAGTTAGAGCTGCAGAGATTTTAGCTTGTGTCCACCATTTTTGTAACGCTTGAGGAAGAACGCGAAGCTTCAAGACTCCAGAGAAGAAAAAAAAAGAGGGAAGATAAAAGACAGTACATTGGTCGTGTAACTCTCAAGACAAAAACGTGTTGGATTTCATCTTCTTATGTCTGGTTTTTTTTTAGGGTTTTCTGGTTATATGAGGAAAAGATAGAAGAACATTGTTGTTTCATGTTTTTTTTTTAGCGGTTTTGGTACGATTTTAATGTGTACCCACAGAGCCAAGAGATTTTTTTTTTCTTCACTATTTTTATTTTTCGGTGCCACCTTTCGTGTGGATCCATGAACTTGGTGAGATCACAAATATAACTATAAAACATTTATATGGTTTGATTATTTTTTTTCTTTCCATTCAACGGCAACTTTGAAACTTCTGGTAATGTGGGCAAGTATCAAATTCGACCGAAACTCGCAATATTTATTTATATTTTTAACATATATATATATATATATATGGATGCATACTTTATTCTGAAAAATCTAATAGCGCACAAAATGATTCGACTGCACAGAAACTGAAAATAGTGCCGACAAAAAAAGGACATAATAATAACAATAAAGAAAGAAAGAAAGAAAATGAAAGATTGGAAACTCTTTCCGGATACTTCTATTATTTATATATATAGAATCTTAACGAGGTCCAATAATGCAATTATGCAGTTTGGAAGATAATAATCTTTTGATTTGGTAAATATTTGGTGATATTTCTGAGTTTTGACTTTTTTTAGAGGCATTTGACTTTTTTTTTTTTTATACTTTCATGCGGACTTCATTTGCTTATACACACTTGCACATATTAAGCCATAATTTCAATTTTTTTACATTATAGTGGTATAATTTTTCTCCAATTAAATTAAATGTTATGCACACTTAGCAAATACTTAGGACAAAAAATTAGACATTGATTAAATACAAGTAAGTCTTCGGAGGCTAATAATGGATGTATCATCCATGAATTTCTCCTCGTATATCTTTATATAAAAGTATATAAATACAAAAAAGTAAAGTAAATAGCCAGAATTATCGCCTAGTATTTCAATATACATGGTCGAATTTTGCAACTCTATGTAAAATAGATCCCCTTGGATTTTTTTTATATTGTGTTATCCTATCAATTTTGCAAAATTTCGTATTGTCCAATTTTTACAATCTTTCTAAATCAAGTAAAAAGTAAATATTTTTCTATTTTTGTTGATTTTTTTTGGCCCAACTCTATTTAATTTTGAGATTTTTTTCCCCTCGAAATATATTTTCACCATTACTTTTTTAGAATAACCAATATATCTAGAAATTCTAAAGAGAGGAAAAAAGAGGAGGTATAAGAGCAAGTATCAATATCAAAAAGAGAAAATTCCACAAAAATTTCTCAAATTGTCAAGATATGTCATACAAATTGAAAATTTGTGAGATATAATTTGGAAACAATTCCTAGATTAGGGAATATATGTGATAAACTTTTAATTGAGAATTTTGTATATAGTACATTTGACTAATTGGATAATTTTTGTGGAATTTTCTCTGTAAAAAGAGAAAGAGAAAAAAAAATGAGTGAGTGATAATCTCCCGTTGGGGTAAACGTTTAGGTTTACAAACTATTCAGTTCGGTTTTTCTAATTCTACAAAAATATGTACCGATCGGATTATTATATCATATTCGGTTTAGTTCGTTTTCTGTTTTTACTAAAAAAACATATATTTTCTTAAAAAAATCTTTTTCTTAGGTTTTTTAAAAAAAAATCGATTTGGTTTCAAAAAATTTGATTCTCTAGAAAAATATAGTCCGATTCGATTCGAAAATAATATATAAAAAAAAATCCTTTCGATTCTAAAAAATCGTACCAAAACGCTGTATCCTAGTGTCTAGCATCTGGTTGGTCAATCGGTAATCACAACTAACTTGGGGAGAAGGACCTTATCTTACATATTAATTGGTTAGATATCACATTTACACTATATTTATTTATTTACACCAATTAGCATACATACACACATACATACATACATACATACATACGTATTGACCCACATTATACAAGTATACTCTTTTGATTTCACAACGATACACACACACTCTCTCTCTATATATATATATATTTAAACTTATTGACCGTAAAAATATCTCGGATATATCCAAATTTCATATTCACACAAACACGAGGATGCTCGACCCCACACACATACACACGTACAAATATATATATATATATATATATATATATATATATGCGCATATATAAAAAAGTGGACATATAGAGAAAATATAAAATGAAAAAGAATGGGTAAGAGAGGAGAGAGAGAGGGGAAGATGGAGGGTTTGGAGATGGGAGAGCTGATTCACTTATTGACGACGGTGTTCGTGTCGGGCTTCGCCGGATTCCTGACGACTCCGGCGATTACTGACGTCACCGTCGCCGCACTTTGCTCCCCCGGCGCCGACGAGTGCTCTCTCGCCGTCTACCTCTCCGGCTTCCAACAAGCGGTACGAACATATACATATATATATATATACACACACAAGCATAAGAAAATTATTCATTTTATTTTGGGCTTTAAGATCTTCGTGATATCTTCAAATTTCATCTGCATCTCAGATCGAGATTAAAGTCGGATCATTTCCAACTGCTTTTTAGTATTAAAATCACGAATTTCTAATTACATACATTCATGTGCAATTAATGCAATTAACTACACAAACACACATATATTATTTTTTATTAGATTTTGAAATGGATTATATTATTTTTTACTCAAACATTATGGAAAATGAGTAGTTTAACAACCTTAAATTAAAAGCATTCCCATTACAAAAAAGAAAAACTACATTGATATGAAAAAATGGCGACTTTGGTATGAAAAATAAATAAATAAATAAATAAAGAAAAGGACTTTACAAACCATTTTTTTTTCAATTTTGTGTTGAAGGACAACATTTATTTTATATTTTAAATTTGATGCTTTCACAGCGTTGACAGTTTCTGGGAAGCAAAACCCATATTTTTTCAACGTAAAATAAAATACTTTATGTCCCAAAAATATTATAATATAATGTTTCAGCATAAATCAGACCGTCTTTTTATGAATCTGTGGTTTGTTTATCCCCCACGTTTTGTACCAAAAATCAGACCACGTTTTGTTCAGACCAAAACAAAAAAAGTTGGTTATAACCAACTAATCGATACAATATCATATTCTATAATATACATTAAGACTATTCATATAAAGAAAGTTACTAAAGATGTGTATTGGAGATTGAATAACTCAAAGAGATGAGATAAAACTACTTTTTAATTGACATTCGAGTTTCCGTTTTGGAGAAATATTCATCTGAACTTTTCCAATTGTCTAATAGATATAGTTGCTACTAAATTCATCATCCTCGAGTTTACGAATATTCGATCTCGTAGATAATAAAAAAATGGGTATTTATCTTTCCATTAGACGACGGATATGAGATAAAGAAAGAGATAATATTTAAGACAAAAATAAAAACGGGTATATATAAAAATACGAATACTTTCGTGCCCACCCCTGTATATTAATACTTTAAATCTGTTTATATATATATATATAATATGATTATTATTTAAATAGGCGATAGGGTTGGGGACAATGGTAATGATGCCGGTGATGGGAAATTTATCGGATAAATATGGGATTAAAGCTTTGCTCACTCTTCCTATGGCTCTCTCCATCATCCCTCCCGGTACGTTCCACCTTCCACCATTCCTTTTTTTTTTTTTAATTTTCAAAGTATAGCTTTTTAGTTTTTTTAACAAGTTATTATATTACTTTAATGCTTTAAATATGACAAAAAAAATTGAATTATAGTTCTCGTTTGGACCGACATGACAATAAAATAACGTGTACCGAAGAAGAGAAAAAGGGCTTTCTATTTCTACTGTGCATTGCCTAATCGTCAAAAGTGTCTTTCCTCTATTTATGCCTCTTTTTTTTTTTTTTTATCGTCCCCTCCACTACATGGAATTTTAATTGAAATTTTATTTGATGAAATTCCAACGTTTAATTGCATCCACAATATTCGTTAGGCGAATACTATATATATTCAGAAGATTATATGTGTGTATGTGATGTCAAAGTTACAAAAATACCTTTTTTCTACAAATATTATTATTTTGAAAAAGAAATGAACTTTGGTTTTGGTATAAAAGGTTATAACAATTGTGTATATATATAGTGGTCGACCCAGAAATAATTATAATCGGGGACAAATTAATTTTATCATATGATAAATTTAATTTTACCGGCTTATTTAACAATTTAATTTAAAATTTTACATATTTTATATAAAAAAAATATTTTTTTAGTTAAGTGAGTGGGACTTAGGACCCATCTAAATCAATGTAGGTCCATCCATCCATATATATATATATATATATATATATATATATATATTAATGAAAGTAATAAATAAGAAGGAATCATACTTGTTAATTTCATATTTCTCTAACCCTAAAAGAATTTAATTTTGCAGCAATATTAGGATACAAAAGGGACAGAGATTTCTTCTACGCGTATTACATAAGTCGAACTCTGACTGCGATGGTCTGCGAAGGCACCGTCGACTGTCTCGCCTACGCCTACGTGGTAAATTTTTTTATTTATTTTTCATCTTTAAATTCTTTAATATTTACTAAATTAATCCGACATGCTTTTATGGGATTATTTTTCTTTGTTTTGAAATTTATTTTCTAGGCAGAAAATATTTCAGAGATAAAGAGAATATCAGCGTTTAGCGTTTTAGCCGGCGTTAAAACGATCTCCAGCGTTTGCGGCACGTTGGCCGCCCGTTTTCTCTCCATCGCTTCCACGTTTCAGGTCTTTCCTCATACCTACCTACATACATACATACATATATACATAATACATACATTGTATATACACTATTACATATACATATACACAATATATATGATTCGTGCTGATATATTTTCTCAATATAAATGTCAAATTTGGATTCAAATTAATGTTTTCTTTATCTGACAAGGGATATTTAATTATGATTTTTTAGATCGCGGCTGTATCATGGCTAATCGGTTTGGTCTATATGAGAGTTTTCCTAAAAGAGCGACTACATGATCATGGTGATGATGACGATGATGGTCATCATCATCATCATGGTGAGCATCATGGAGAAGATCATCCTTTAGCAGAGCCTATTCTAAAGGATACACCCGCCGCCAAGGCACGTGTCTTCAATAAGAACTCATCGTTGAAGGACATCATCAGCTTGATGAAGACCAGGTATATATATGTATATGTATATGTATATGTATATATATGTGTGTAGTGTATATACGTATCTGAACTGAAATCATTACGTATATCGTTTTATACGCAGCACCGTATTCGTACAAGCATTGGTTGTAACATTCTTCAGCAGTTTTTCAGACAGTGGAATGCAGTCTGCCTTTCTGGTTCCTCCCTAAATCTCTTTTACTTGAAAACATTGGAATACTAATTTATTGATCTAAAAACCTGAATATATATATATATATATATATATATATTCATTTTTTTTTGTATAATATCCGATATTATCTTATGTATATATATGCAGTATTTTCTCAAAGCCCGCTTCGGATTCAACAAAGATCAGTTTGCTGATCTCATGCTGCTGGTCAGCATCATCGGCTCCATCACTCAGGTATCAGTATCTATACATATATGTGCGTATGTATGTGGGTGTATACATACATACATACATACATACATACATACATACATACATACATACATACATGATGTTATATATATGTAAATGGTGCAGAACTGAAATGAGTGAATATATTTTCAGCTATTTCTACTGTCGATTTTGGCTTCTGCAATGGGAGAACGTAGGTTGCTTTCACTTGGGCTTCTTATGGAAGTAGTAAATGTAATCTCCCTTGAAATATTTATATATTTCATTAATCACCATTAAAGTTCCGTAATCACAAAAGTTAATTAAATGATCTCAAGATCTAATGTGTTCATGGATATATATATATATATATATACACATGTATATGCAGACTGCCATTGTCAGCGTTTCTTGGTCTGCATGGGTGAGTTCCTTCATCAAAGAACTTCTACACAAGTTTTTTTTATTTCATTTAAATCTCAACATTATAACCTATGAATTCGACGTTTTCGTTCATTTTGGCGGTCCGTTAACGCAGGTTCCGTATCTCACAACGGTATTTGCTCCGGGCGCCATGATCGTGATGCCCTCTGTAAGCCTCGTTCCATCGCCTCATAGGCATTTTCTCGGCGGATTAATGTGTAAAATCGGTATCATTCCTCTATTATTTTCACAAGTTCTTGGACTTGTAACAATGCAGGTTTGTAATATCGCCTCCAAGCAAGTAGGACCTGGTGATCAGGTAGCGTTTTTTCCCTGGCTAATCTCTCTTCCTTCGGAGTTCAATTTCATATCATGATGAGGTTCATGGATTCAGGGAAAGGCTCAAGGATGCATCTCTGGAGTCAAATCCTTCGGAAAGGTCATCGCCCCATTTGTGTTCAGCCCAGTTACCGGTATTTTTCACGCGCATATAACGATGAATTTCATTATCCGGACCGACGTTTTCACCTTCTCTAACCACAAAACATGTTACGTGTTACCGTCGGTTTCAGCATTGTTCCTCTCAGATGATCCACCATTCTACTTCCCTGGGTTCAGTCTCCTCTGCATCTCCTTATCCTCGGTATATATATATGCATATATATACGTTGTCTTTATAGTATTTCCTTTCGATACACTCGTTTCATGATTATGCGATGCGAATCCTTAGACCGACGACCCTTTTGTTATGAGCAGATGATCGGTTTCATTCAGAGTCTGGTGATAAAAGATGATCCTCCTCCGTCGTCGAACCAGACGATCAACCCTAGTTCAGAGGAGGAGGGCGTAAATTCAACATACAGATGATGAAAAACAGGGGTTACACACGCATGTTTACGTAGATGAAATTTCAAAATGAAACATCTCTTGTATCATTTCTGGTTCCGACATTATCGAGTCTGGTTGTTTTGATGTGGAAGACCGGACAGAACATATATAGACCTTCTTTGCAGTGTCTAATTATACGTATTTACGTACACGTAGAGGTGCAAATGCACATGCGTATATTTTTTGTAGAATCAAATATATGGTGAAGCGAAGATGAACATTAAAATAGGAACTCAAGCTTTGGTGATACAGTGGGGAGAGAACATGTAAAGCAACTCAAGCGTGAAAAGAGGTATTCACCTGGGCTTTCTGTTCCTCCGAGAGATATAGTCGGCGCAAAGGTTCGGTGAACTTCCGAATTATCAAAAAAACATTAAAATAGGCTTCAACGGTGAAAAAAAAACATGATCACGAGGAGTACTACACCCTCTAACTTTAAAATTAGGGGTTTGAATCATTTTACTCTCCTCATCTCCTATCAGTTTTGAGCAATCTAGGGTGATATACATATTTCGTGTGGTTTGTAGGCTAATACACGACAATGAGCGTTTATCCATTGTGTATCGAATGACAATGGTTGTGCATTTTCACGTTATCCAAAGAAACATGATTATTTGAGAATGAAATCATGGTTTTTCTTTATATTTTTTTTTATGTATTTCGTACTTGTTTTTGGATAACCGGATATTATAAACCGATGATTAGATTAATTTCGAGACGAGAAGTAATCCATATTATTAGAATTTGCATTAAAAAAGGGGCATTTTACTCAAATGACCCAGTTGGGTCGCAACAATTTCATGGGTACACCATCAAAAAAAATATTTTTTTTTAAACTTTTAACCCACTTTTCGACTGAAAAAATCTGAAATACCATTTTTTCATTTTTTTACCACCTTATTACGACTAACATATAAGTGATATACAACTAAAATAAGAAGTAGTTATAATCGTATAGAGATGAAAGTCTCAAATAAAAACAAATAAAACGTAGTTTTTTTTAAAATTCGACAGATGATTTTTTTGCCTAACTTTTTTAGAATCAATTGTAACTATATTTAGAATTAATTACGAAGTCGTAATAACGAAGTTGTTTTCGAACGGACAAATATCACGTATTCATTAAGGGTAATTTCGTATTTTCAAAAAAAAATTAATGCTGGTGTACGCATGGAATTGGTGCGAACTAAACTGAGTCATTTGAGTAAAATGATGCTTAAAAAGACATGTTTCAAGGTTTGAACTCGCGATATCAAACTAGTTGAACTAACCAATTGGGTATGTATTCCGTACTTGTTTGCAAGATCGAGAAAAATCACACAAATTTCTCTTTGCCAAATAAAATTTTGGGGGACAAGTCGTCTTAATCGCAAGAACACGCGCGTATACGCAAATTAATACGTACATATAGGTTTACATTTTGACCATTTATTGGGTTTTATTCCTTTAAACTCGATCTTTATCATTCTTGCGATTTATTCCTTTAAATTCGTCGATCAATTCTACAGAATCTCGTCCTACCGGCAATGAAGAACGTGGTCATGTAGAAGAGGGCAGTGGAATTATCAATCTGAATTTCCAGTTGTTCAGTGTTAAGAGACAAATCTTCAGACTATCTCAAGGTTCAGACATGGTGGAAAGATTCTAGAGTTGGAAGGTGGAGTCTTGTATTGTAAAGCCCTCACTCCATTGATTTTCCACTTGACGGCTTCTCTCTCGGACATTTCGTCGAACGGTCTCCGTGCCTGAGCGATTTATCTTCGTTTCACATACCCACTTACCATCGTATTCAATTTCTCTTTGTTCATCTCCTTCTCCATTTTGTTGAGAATCTCTCGTTCTACAGATATTTCCTGATTTTATCATCTGGGTCAGGTTTGAAGAAGGAGAAGAACAAGAAGAAGAAGGAGGAGGGAGAAAGTGTTTGCCCATAAGCTTTTTTATCAGCTCATCGCCGCCGGCGAAGATCCAAGATCGAAATTCACATTATCCTGATTCCTAACTATAAAAGCTTCCTCCTTTTCTAGATGATAACCATCGGCGGAGGCAGTTTCCGGCCGTTACTTTTTGCTCCGCCGCAGTTGCATGGTCACCACCAATACGGCCACCGGCGGAGAGGGCTGCGGTTCGAGGTCCGGTGCAAAGTCACCGGAGCAGTGCCGCTGACGAAGCAAGGTCACCGGTTTATCTCGTCTCTCTCGTCCCCTGCTGTAGCCGGAGACTCGTCGGCGATCAACCGCCAGATTCGGAAGTTCGTCGCCGCGTCGCCGAAATCAGTTGCCCTCAATGTTCTCTCTCATCTTCTCTCTCCTCTGAACTCTCATCCCCATCTTTCCTCCATTGCCCTCAACGTGAGTAGTCTCTTCTCTCTGTCGCTTTGTTTCGTTTTTGTCTTCTTCGTTTTCCGTCAATCGTGTTGTTTGTTTCTCGAGAAAATAACAGAAATCAAGAATTGTTGCACTTGAAGTTTGATTCTTTTCTCTGCAGTTATACTCAGAGATTGCTGAAGCACCATGGTTTGATTGGAATCCCAAGCTTGTTGCCGATCTCGTTGCTCTGCTCAATAAACAAGAACAGTTTCCTGAATCAGAATCTCTGCTTTCTGCTGCTGTTTCCAGGTTGAAGCCAAATGAACGAGGCCTTGCTCTTTTCCACTGCAATTTGGTTGAATCAAATTCCAAACAAGGATCTACACGAGGATTCAACGATTCTTACTCTTGTTTGAGGGAGATAATCCAGAGATCTTCCTCTGTTTATGTTAAAAGCCAAGGGTACAAGTCTATAGTCAGTGGACTATGCAACATGGACAGACCTTATGACGCCGAAAGAGTTCTCGCAGAGATGAAAACAGAAGGAATCAAGCCTGAGTTGTTTGAATATAGGTCTGTTCTATACGGCTACGGGAGATTGGGATTGTTCTTCGATATGAACAGAACAGTGCATGAAATGGAATCTGATGGTCACAAAATCGACACGGTGTGTTCTAACATGGTTCTTTCTTCATATGGAGCTCGTGATGCACTACCCGAAATGGGTTCTTGGTTACAGAAATTGAAGGGTTTTGGTATTCCTTTGTCCATAAGGACGTATAACTCGGTCTTGAATTCTTGTCCTACAATTACATCTCTACTGAAAGACTTGGATAGCTGTCCTGTTTCTCTATCGGAACTAACGGGTCTACTGAACGAGGACGAGATGCTTCTGACACGGGAATTGGTTCAGTCATCGGTTTTAGATGAAGCGATGGAGTGGAATGCATTGGAGGGTAAGTTGGATTTACATGGGATGCACTTAAGCTCATCATATTTGATAATGATGCAATGGATGGATAAGGTTAGAATTAGGTTTGAAGAAGGGAAGCATGTGATACCAGTGGAGATTGTAATTGTTTCCGGGTCTGGAAAGCACAGTAATGTAAGAGGAGAGTCGCCGGTGAAAGCATTGGTCAAGAAGATAATGGTTCGTACAGGAAGTCCGATGAGGATTGACCGGAAGAACATCGGTAGTTTCATTGCCAAAGGAAAGGCTGTAAAAGAATGGCTTTGCCAGTAAAAATGTAAAACTCCAAATCCACACATTTTGGATAATAAAATCTCAGATTTGGGACATGTTTCTGTTTCGCCAGGCGATGTTGTTGTTATGAATCAAGCTTCCTATAAGAAGCAAAACCTAAGAGAAAATGGGTCTTTTATCGAGTTTGTGGCTTGGTCATTGACGGGAGGAGGTGTACCTCGGTCAAACACAGGGATCTCTTTTCATTTTCTGCGAATCGGGTTTACATACAAATTGATCAAGATCAGTTATACAACTCTGTTTTTACGTATTACATTCTCCAGGTTCTTCTTTGTTGCCCTCTATTTCAGTTGATTTGTGTTGCAGCAGTTCCAAGCTCCATCAGTTTCTTACACTGTTTCCTGGTAATAACGGGTTATCGGCCTGTCAGAGAACTGTTGTTAGCTTCAACGCCAATGAATCTCTCAGGGTCAGTTCTTTCTTACCTTATCTAGTGAGTAAATGTGTATCAGCTCGATAGCCTTTTACGATGATGATCTTGGATGTTGATGGATACCGGTACTCCTACCTAGTGAAAATACTTCATATCAGCCACAAGTTGCAAGTTCAATATACTGGAAGTAGAAAGAAATAATTAATTATCTGAAAGCTGGAATTTTCTTACTTGAAATCCCATTTTTAAGTACTGAATCTGTATTGTGGTTATGGTTATTGGTTAATCTAAAGACTCTGCAGACAAGGAAACAAAAAAACTGTGATGCAGAACTTAGATTACCCGTTATAGAAAAATTGCTGACTTGCCGACACTCAGGCAGGGTTCTGTGACCAGTCGGGAGGAACTCTGTTCGAGACAACTGTTGGCATTGTTCTGACGTTGATGTCGAGTGGATGAAGCCGGTACTGAATGTCGAGTTCAACGAGGATCTTGATAAGTTCCTCGACTAAGGCTCCCCGCCTTTTGAACTTCTCACCCATATCCTGGTGATTGATTTTGTGAGACGGCCATATCGCTATCCTCACCATCGTCAAGTTTTCCATGTCCTTTACGATGATCATGGCAGATGGGCACCAATGCTCTGGATTGCTGTCGATGTAACTGCAATGCCAAAAACGTTTTCGTGGGGATTAGCATATATATGTCACCTTAATGTTCAGTACGTGCATAAGCATAGAGTTTTACGGGCAATCTCTCTAGCATTACTTTGATATTCTCTGTCTAATGGCTGCGATCTTTTCGGCAGGAGTTGCAATGTGGACGCAGAATTCGACTGCGTCTCCCATTTCCGGGCTGCGGTAGTAATTGCTGATCGATCTCTGCCAGAGAACGCTGTTCGGATACAGAACCTTCAGTTTGTCATCCTTCAAGAACAGAGTTGTCAAAATGTTCATCTCCTCCACCACCATCTATCCATATTTGTAAGTACACCTCGTCAGCCTTAAAAATGTTCGCTGGTATATACGGTTTTTCGTGTATAAACGCATACATGATGACTACCTGAATTCCGTCAATCTCGCACCGATCACCGACATCGTACGGGTGGACGATGAACAAGAAGATGATGGATTCGAATATAGTCTTCGCAGTATTCCCGAACATGAAGGCCGAGAGCACAACTTGCGAGCCTAGGAAGAGAAGAAACCTCGAGGAGGCGATCTCGAGAAGGATAAGCCATATGACTGATATGACAATGGCGGCGAGAATCTTGACCATCTGATGGAGCTTGTTTACCGCTGTCTTTGTGTCATTCAGCGTCAGGGCAAGAGCTCTTCGCTCTCTGAAAGCATTTACCTAACCAGAATCAACCACGGGAGTGATATATACACACACACGCAGAGCATTGAACCCGAAAGAAAAAAAAAATTCTTTATACAAGATCAAGATCTATGCGGAGGAAGAATCACCAGCCAGTTCTTTAAAGCCGTTTTGCTAATCCTTTTGGTTTCGGGTCCTCCTTCGAAGAGGCTCATCGTCTTCAAAGACTCGTCTTCCCGCAAAAATCTCATCAGATCCTCCAGGTAAATATGCCTTTCATTCATATATACATATATATATAGAGAGAGAGGATGATGATCAGAGGAACTGAATGATGAACTGTAAAGAACAAGAAACATATGTTGGTTAGGATAATAACTCACTTGGCTCCACGTTGAGCCACGTTCTTGAAAATCTTCCTTGCAGCTGCTTTAGCTTCTTTCTCGGTCCGAATCTGCTTCGAGTATTCGTCTTCGTAAGAGTTGTCGATCGCTTGCTCGTCCAAAGTGGTAAGAGAAGCCTTCCTAACGATCTTCATTAGCCTCTTCATGTTCCATGCCGAGACGTTCTTGTTGTTCATCCTGTGCAGGTGATCGATCGTGATCCCGTTGTCACTTCCCGCCTTTGAGATCATCGGCGAAACCTTAGGATTCGCCATCATCGGCGAAACCTTAGGGTTCGCCATCATCGGAGAAACCTTAGGGTTCGCCATCATCGGTGAAACCTTAGGGTTTGCCATCGTCACCGCCCCGTTCTTTTCTGGCGGGAAAGCGGCTGCGCAAAGCTCGGGTGGTAGATTTGCCCCGGCACTCTGCATCTTGTACATCTCTTCCTGCGCACGCTCTT